AGAAGAAAAAAAACGTACAAGAGAAAAATCTATTTCTCTTCTGCCACAATCTACCAAAAAGAAATCAAGGAGAGTAACCTTCTTCTTATACTATCTTCTTCTTCCTTCTGCCAAGCACGCAGAAATGACTGTGAGAGAGCACCTTGCGAAAAACACTACTTTTTCTGCCTTCTACTTTCCGCAAGCCACAAGAAGAACCCAAGCCGGGAATCTTCGACGAACCGAAGGAAGGCTTCTTTCATCAACTGAAAGAGGCGGAGACGGGAGGAGCGACTGTTTTCGCGAACGTGAGAGTTGGGATCGAGGGTTTCACAAACTGAAGGAACGGAACGTGATGGGAGGGAAGGAGCGACCTATTTTCGTGAATCGGGAGAGGGAGACGGTAACGTGAGGCGGGGTAGTTGCTTTTTCTCCTCTTTTTTTTTAGTTATTTCTTTGAGTCGGGCTCCACACTCAACAGATTGTTATGGCATGTTAGACTGAATTTAATCCCACATTGGCTAAGTCAAAATATGTTGGTGTAAGAATATCAAATGAGTGGTCCTCTCCTATATATTCTGTAGGCTCAAGTTAACGTCTTCTAATTTCAAATCACTAAAATCTTATTTGTAATAAAATGAGGAATTTACATACATGGCACTCCAAACTTCATATTTTAGATATTTCACATCTAAACTTTACTTTTTAAATTTATAGCACTCAAAATATTATAATAAACACAAAAATAACACTTCTCCATCAAACCAAATAATTTGCCGCCCGAAATAGCTGCTGAGAAGGCAATGACGGGAATGCAATGTACAAAGACCTCTGAAACTCTCATCTTTCTCCTCTTTCAGCTTAGCTCCTACACGAAATCATCGAGGAAGATAACCCTCATCTTTCTCCCGCTTCCTCTCGCCCGCCTTCGCAAGCTTGAGCTTCTCTAAATCCCGTAAATCCTTGATTTAAGCCAAAATGGTTTTTTTTTTTTTTTTAATGGGGCGGATGCGCGGGATTTAAAAATGCCTTGCTGATTGGCAGGCATTAAGTTAAATCCTACTTAACTCTCACTTAAATCCTGCTACCAAACAGTCCCTGAAGTAACATTGTTAAACAGGGAGCTAAAGATGTAAAATTAGAATTTTAGGTGTGAAATCCATAAAATAAGAAGTTTAGAGTGCTATGAATGTAAATCCCCCTAATAAAATTTATTATTGTGTATAATAGGCAACATGCCAAACTCTAACTTAATGGTTGTGTATTAAAATTCAACAAACTTTTGAACTCTTTCTAGAGGTCCAGAGTACAAATTTAGAAACTATTCAAACATCTGAGAAAAGATTTTATTTGGAAAGAATAAACAGTAGGGAACAATATTAAGACATTAACAAAAAGGGATCAAAGAACAAAATAGCAATGCCACCATAATTATTGTTTTTGCAAAAGAAAAATTATAATCCTCACCTTAAAATTACTTAATAATTTGAAAGGTAGAAATTAGTCTCTAGAAAATGAATTTATGATCAAAGAAGAAGATTGGTGATAGGGAAAACAGACAAAAGTATCTAAAAGATCAAGAGAAGTAAAATAAATACATAATTTTTTATTATTATTTTTTTTTATTTTTTTTTTTTTGCAACTGCATAATTCTTTGCAACTGCATAATTCTTCAACCTTTTTAAATTTATTAGTACATCTTGACACTTTTATATATTCAAAGTAACCATTAATGGTATCGTTATTAGGATCATAACAATTATAACCAGATCAAGCATAACTTTTAATACATAGCATAAATCTTAATTGGCTCTAATTTGATTTGATTGAATATGATTTAAAAAGTGCTCAAATTGACTTATCGGATGAATTAGGGCCCAAATTAGCTAACACAACTAATTGAATCCATAAACACATGCCTGTATAAGGAGGAGGTAGGTTGTGACAAAAGGGATTGTGTCACCTCTAGTTGTCAAGGGACTTGACGAAGGCGGACAAGTAGCACAATTTGCCTCTATTTGAATGCAAAATTTTATAAAATGCATTGAACTAGTTAGAATTTTTTTTAAATAAAAATGTTCTAGTGAGAGAAAAGAGTTACTTTATTTCTTAATGTGCATGCAAGCTTTCTCTAAATTTGAACAATGAAGAAGCGCGTCTCCTGAAATATATATTATCCATAATTCAAAACTTTAAGCCACTAGAAGTATTATGATGTCGCCATGAACATTCCCATACTTCCCAACCACTAAATGGAGGTGTGGCAAAGACGATGACTAAAGGCAATCATAGATAATTGCTCAACCAAGACAGAAATGCATGAATTTTGATGATGAGGCGTGTGCAATATCACTCAATATGATCTGGATAAATATAAATAATATTTCATATATTCATAGATTGCCTATAGTAAAGCCTATAAATAAGCCTTAGGTTTAATTATTCATGAGTACTTTCTTGAAACTAAGAAAAGCGCCTCAATAATTTCTAAAACAACCAATTTGCTAAGGCATTCATCCCTTCACTATTCATTATGACATGCTATATTTCTTATCAAAACAAAAAATCTTGTCCGCTACCACCATAGATCCCTCAAAAAATTCTTATAATTATGGTTGTGCCACATGTCACACAACAAACTTTTCATCCTAGCTCAACAGAATTTGGGTTACGAATTCTAACAAGTCAGGATTGCAAAGTATATTTTTTTTGTCTAAATTAAAATTCTACCAAACCATTCTTCCTCCTTTGCTTAGCAATTTTTCCTTAGTAAATCACCAGCTACACCAACCACCTTCATCAACAACCCATTTGTCTTAAAAACCAGTCAAGTACATTTGCTGACATCCAACTAGCCCTCTCCATTGTCATCCATTCATCTGGTTCATTTTTAAAAAATTGAGAAGACCACCCTTGAAAACATCTAATTGATCTCCCTCATAAACATCTAATTGATCTCCTCCACCATCTCATCAATATTCTTCAATGACATAAAGCTCACATATTCTCATTGGCCCTGTAAAAATTTCCACTTAATTTAATATTATAAAATTTTACAGCTAATGAAACCTCTATCTTATGAAGTCCCCTTGTTGCTTTAAATCTTACAAAAGCATCCCTCTAACAGTTCAGAATGGGACAAGACTTCAAGCACACATTATTACTAATAGTGAAATCATAAAATGGGCGAGATTCTGTGATTTTTTTAGTTACGAGTTTTCAACATAAAAATTATCTTGCCTTCATTAGTTATTTGTGTGCTTTCCTACTTAACAGGAATTTTTCTGGAGTATAACAATCGTTATCTTGTCCTTTTAATTCCCACTTCCCAAAAACAAAAGCATCTGAAATTTTTAAATTTAAAAAAATAATTTACCAGCCTTTATTGCTATACTCTTTCAAATATTCAATTTTTAAACAGAGAAAATATTAGGACAATTGCCAACTAGACAAAAGGATAGGTTTGGAAACCATACAAACAGAAAGCTAACTAGCACTGCTTGGATGTTACTAGAAAATGAAGTAAGAAATTATAGCCACACTAGATTTGACCAAAGCTAACAACTAAATAATATTCGCTACCACTAGGACTGTAAATGAACCAGAGCACATGATGATCAACTTGAACTCACTCAACTAATATTCGATCAAGTTCGCTCAAATTAGTAAATAAACAAGTTGGAACATTTTTTTCAATGCTCGAAGGTTAAATTAACTAAACATAAACTAGTTTCAACTCGTTTATTTATGTTCTTCAATAAGTACTTTATTAAATGTTCAGTATTAAACTCAATGATAATTAATATTATGTATGATATATTATTTAAATAAAATTTGATTAGCTAAAAGTTATTTAATTATATATTTTTAAAATTAATATAATATAACTTAATATCAATAATATTTTAAGATTATTATTAATTACAAATTTATTTTATTCATGTATGTTTACAAAATAACCCAATTTAGTAATTAATGTATCATTATCCATTACATTCAATCTTTCAACTTTTTAATATTAATTAATTATAATTTTATAAATATAAAAGATCTATTTATTAATTATATAATATTACATATGGTAATTTTTTTTGTCCATCTATGGACAATACATTACTCAACACTCAACAGTTTAAGCCTATCTTTGCCCTTTAAGTAGTTTTGTTTCACTTGTTTTACATGAAATGCTTTTTAGCTAGGTAAGTACTCATAATTTGTTTAGCTCTTATTAATTTTTGTAAGTAATTTATTTATTATTAGTGAAAGTATGTTAATTTAAAACAATTCTTTCTTATTTCATTATTTCAACACTCAACAGTTTAAGCCTATCTTTGCCCTTCAAGTAGTTTTGATTCACTTGTTTTACATGAAATGCTTTTTAGCTAGGTAAGTACACATACTTTGTTTAGCTCTTATTAATTTTTTGTAAATAATTTATTTGTTATTAGTGAATATGTATGTTAATTTAATACAATTCTTTCTTATTTCATTATTTCATTGAGCTAACTTATTAATATTTATTTATGTTATTTGATTGCAAAAAAAATTACTTGTAAATTATATACTATCTTTATTACCTCGGTGTAAAGTCTTTAGATATTAATTGGGAATTTATTCAAATGCTTATTTCATTGGATTTATAAATTATTTGTAGATAAATTTACATGAAAAAGTCAACTATAAACATTACTCACAAATGCTTGGCTCGAGCTCTAGCAAAAAATGAACAAACTTATAATACGACAAAATCAAGTCCAATCCATGTCATACTCTACTTGACTCAGCTCGATATAGCCATAACTAGCACTTACCATAAGGGATGGACTAATTATTTTAATCAATTCAAACACTTGAGTAAGTCAAAGTTGATCAAATGCATGGAGTTCATAATGCTATATCATATTCAAGAGACAACTATCTTTTATGTAGTCGTATTATCGTATATAGAGTTCTCAGCCAAAAAAACCTAAATGAGTGGAAGAAAATTTTATAACAGTACATTGAAGAATTGAAGAGAGTACCTATTATGACTTTCCAGGTGACATGTTTATTGCCAGCTGCACAGATATAGAAGCAGCAAAAAGTAAGCATAGCATTCAAACTAAAGCAATAATATCATGTAATTACTGGAACAAAAATGGTAAATTATGCAAATAATTGCAAAACAATCAGCCAAACATAACCATGTTGTACAATTTGATTCACATCCTAAAGCTCCAAGATGAAGAAAATATTTGTAGGGTGAAAACATTAGCAGCTCAAATTAACACCAATATATCAGCAAATAAACATCACTAAACCAGCACAATACACTAGCAAGCAAATGGACTATTAGAAACTCAATTATTAATTTACTCTTAATTTGAGATTATTCTTCCCTCTTAAGTGCCTCTCAAACAAAAACATTATCCATGTTTCAAGCAATTCATCAAACACTTTCAGGATCCTGAAAGAGAAAAAAACATTTAAGATATAAGAACTCATACCTAAGGAACACCGGCCACTGGCACAGAGCAACTGATTTTCCTCACCAAGCTCAAGTAATACGCGCACAACCCCCGGCGGCGATGCAGGCGTCGCATATAAGCCTCAATCCCTGATGCAGAGCATCACCTAACCCAACCTCACCCTTAATCACCAAGTCCACCACCGCTTGACGCATCAAAACTTGTACTACTGATGCTCTCCCCCACAACATTCATGCTCCCATTGCCAACCACGTAAAAAAGAAGCGTTCCCCAGATAGCAGCTCAAATTATGAAGCCCCGGCGGACGTCCACCTGAAAACGTGCAATTTATGAACAAGTTGATAGTTTTATCAAGGTCTGTGCACTGGTCGAGTGAGGAGTCAACGGTTGTGTTGACAAGGGGAACAGGGCAGGAGCTGCCGATAAAGTTGGCGTCGGCGACTGAAGTGGAGATTGGTACAGTCGATGGCCATGACCTGATAGTCTCTGTTGCTAATGGTGGTCACCAAGGTGGTGTTATTGATGCATCGAAGGGAGTAGCCGGGTTGGCCATAGAAAGAAGGCCGGCCATCTATTTGAAATGGGTGGGAGATGTGATATTGAGGCCTCCACAGATGAAGAGGCGGGGCCTGCAATCCAAGTAGTTCTGCATCGGTTTGAGGCCAGTGTCGAAGTTTTGAGAAAATTAAGCTGGATAATACAGATCAGGCTTGTTTATTTTCCTTTTGTTCCATTTCATTAAATAATAATTTTAAATCTATTTTAGATATAACATATTCTGTATAATTTATTTTAGATAACTTAATAATATATGTTCCTAATCAAAATATTCAACTAAAAAGAAAATAAATCAGAATAAAGATATTGAAAATAATTTAAATTCTCCTAATTATAGAAATTATAGAAAACTTCTAATTTAGCTGTCTGATTTCCGTTCTTTCTGATTGACAACCATGAGAGCAGCACAGATAGAAAGAAGAAAAAGAAGAAGAGTTGGAGAAACATTTTGCTGAAAAACCTTCTGTTTGATCATTGCGAAGGGATCATTTGCGAGGAGGAGAATGCAAAAGAAGAGGTCAGTAGGGCTGTGAAATTAGCTCTATGGAATCGCTCGAAATTGGATTCTAATTTTAATTCGATTTAAGATCGCAAAATATATTAGATTTTGAGTCATATATGGAGCTGCTCAAAGCCTCAACTTGGTTCAAAATCGGCTCAAACCATTATGAACCACAAATCTATTTCGATCTAAACTCAATCCATTTGAGTCAATTTCGAGTTGGCGTGCATGTCAAAGTAACCAAAGAAGAAAAGTTGAAGTTTATTGATTGTTTCATCGACCTAATCTGTGGTGTAGGGTTGAAAATTTAGATTAGGAACTTATTCAAAATTAATCCACTTTACATATATTCAGTTTAAATTTGATTCATCTATTATAATAATCAAAATATTTAACATAAATTTGACCTAGTCATAACTAATTTAATGCATTTATTATATATCATATAATTTTTTAGATCAATATATTTGATGTGGGCTAGAAAATTCATGATAGTAGAGTAATATATTATCGTTTTAGCGTGGTACAAATATTCAGCACACGCTCAGAAGTGAAAAAACAACTGGTAGTGACAACATAAGTTTTTACGTGGAAAACTCGTAAAAGAAAAAACTGCAGGGTCTGACTTAGCTGAAGAATTTCACTATAAAATGATACAATTACAATCACTTGTCTCACAGGCAGGACATAATTACAATGTCTCCCAAATTACAAAGTTGACGTGCGAATGAACATATCACAAGGAGTGTGCGATGGACAATGATGATGGATGGCAGCCGACGAGTGGTCGTCGACAGTAGTCGACGGTTGATGACAACATGAGTGATGTTGAACTTTAGCTCCTCAAAGTTTCAAGCTCTTCCTCACGCTTCAAGCTCTCTCCCCCTTCATGAGAGGGGTGGGGCTATATTTATAAAGTTTCGGGTACAATTAATGTAGAAATATGAATAATTTTGATCAAATGGCTCAAAGGACTTCCCTCGACCAAAAATTGTTTGATGGACATTGAGTATCTTAATAATGTCAGAATTGAGCAATCTTGGGCTCGTTTGACTCGTCTTGTCAAGGCGCTTGATTTGGCTATGAAGTTGTCATATTCGATATCAATTTAACCTTCTAAATACGCTTGGAAAACTTTCAAAAATGGTTTAATGGCTTGATCTGAGCTAGATTTGACTCGAATTGGACCAATTTTGGTATCATTGGGTCTTTCCCATTGAGTCAATCATTTCGACTATAAGATTGTTGAATTAGACTTCTGTATGAATTTTTTCTATCAAAATTTAAACATGTTTTTTCAAAGATATAAATCGAGATCCGTGTCATGCCTTGAGATTCATATTGGATGATAAAAATTTATTGATAGTGTATTAGTTGTCCCTTATTTTCAGGCTGGACCAACTTTGTTGCCCAAAAATATCAAGATTTAAAGCTTTTCATTTTTGTTGTGTGTGTGTGTGTATTATTACAATTACAATTTATCTAAAGAATAATAAAAACATGTAGATTTTGTAGCTCAATTGATAGAAGCCTTTTGCCTAGTGGAAAGAAGGCGTGTTCGCATTCCTCCAAACATAGAGAGAAAAAAAGTTTTGTTTCTGGGGTCATTGGGCGGGCCAAAAATCGAGCTTGCGGCCCGCACTATTCCTCGCGGGCCCAGAAACTAAGCCACTGGAGGGGCCTACCGACGTGTGTTGTTCCTTGCGTACCTAGGCTGGATGCGAACCGACTATAGCTGGGCCGATGTAGGAACCTATACTAATGTTGGGAGCCAAACTGCTGGAGCTGGACCAACAGGAGCATCCGTACCGCAAAATTTGGGCGAAAATAATGGAATTTGAACAGAGTTTTCATAATTCGAGCTAGTTTAACAACTTAAATAATGGAATTTAAGTAATTTTTCCTTTTTTTTTAATAGATTCAATTTCCTTATCTCCTTTTTTTATTTGTAATGAGGGAATTCAGAAGACTAAAGGGTGGAATATGAAAATGATTTCAGTTTTCTCTCTCTTTTTTTTAAATCTAATTGCTTTTAAGGTGAGAATTCCTCTTAAGCCTATATATAGAGGCCATGGATGAGAGAAAGAATCACAAGTGAGAGGAGGAGGAGAAAAAAGGAGAGTGTACAGTCGACTTTCTTGATTTGTTGGTGGCAAATCAAAGCCCCAAAAGAAGAAAGTCATCATCGTTCTGCATAGCAGACGATCAAAGGGATCTCCTTTCACATTACGGTACAGAAACAAGTCATCTCCATCTTGCGTGGTAAGAGATCAACAAAATCTTATTTTGTATTGTGGTACAGAAGAAAGACGTCTCGGTCTTGCATAGCCAACGATCAACGAGATCTTTTTTTCGTGTCTTTGTCAAGGACAAATTCATTTGGTCCTACGTAACAGGCGATCATTTTATTTCGTTTTCTGTGAAGGAGAAATTGTCTTATTCATGTGTAGTAGACGACCAACGATATTCTCTTTTGTGTTCCGACACAGAAGTAAGTCTTTCCAATTTTGTGTAACATACGATTAATGAGATCTTCTTTCGTGTTGTGATATAGAGGAAAGAGGTTTTCATCCTACATAACAGGCGAACATTGGGATCTTCTTTTGCATTGAGATGCAGAAGAAAGTTATCCCTGTCCTGTCCAGCAGGTGACTCAGAATCTTCTTGCTTTTTGCTGTCGCGCATTCCAGTGGAGATGACGAAATGTCAAAGTGTTACACCTACAGGATTTCTAACTATAGTATGTGAAGTGGTTTTGACAAGTGTTAAGGATATTTTTCCTTATGGTGAAAATAGTATAGTGTGAAAGTAGAAGAAAGGGGAAATAAAATAGTAGAATTTTGTGACAAGTAGAAGCATAAACCATCTTTATCCTATTCCAAGTGTATAAAGAGGTTTTGTTCAAATTGGTTTGGATTCTAGACAATCACTCTAAAAATCCCCAATTTGTACCCCATTAAGTTTAACCTCCATAATATTTGCATCTGCCTATAGTGTTCTTAGATTCATGCCCTATAGTTCAATATAATTTTTCTAATCGTTTATGTCATAGCTCTTCCGAGTCCTTACCGGTTAACAACATATTTTAATAGATCAATTTGACAGATTGAAAAGTAAACTAAGTGTAAAAGGAAAATCACACAATTTGGAATATAAACTAATTCAACATTCAATCCAACATTCTTACACATCCACCACATCACCATAAGGAAAAACAAGTAAATCTACTAAGAAAACATGGATACAACACTGGAATGCATTGAAACAAAGAGGTTCAACATACAAATGCATTTCAGAAAACCACAATTCCAAATCACAAATATACTTATCTCTCTCTCAATTTTGCCTTGATGATGCTCCACCCAAGCCTTTGATCTTCTCTTGCAACTGCTTAGACAACAACACTCACAAATCACTACACACACACACACCTAGACTTGCTTAGAACAATCCTAGAAAACTACAGAGAAAAAATGCCTCTAAAACTCTCTCATGCACCTCTTCGACTCCTGGCCTCCTCTATAGTTCTCCTTCTTCTCCTCTTAATTTCGTTCCAAACTGCTCTAAAAACCACCTCGAAATCGCTGTTGAACTGCTCTGAACCGTCTCGAAACTGGTATTGGCACCTAAGCGGCACTCTATTTTTGGTGTTATGGCCTTGGCCCTCAGGATTACGGTCATGCTGCCCAGTGGTTGGAGCCTAAGCGCCAACCTCTCGGGTTGCATTTTACTGGAATGGCGCCTATGAGCCATACTGATCTGGCGCCATGGACTTTCCCTTCAAGACTGAGGCCATGGCACTATGACGCCAAGCTCTCGGGTTCCGCGCTTGGTTGGCACCATGGCCCCAACCTTCACAAACTTCTTTTTCTTCAAATCTTCTACTTTTCGCTCTGTGTTTCTTCCAATTCGTTCAACTCCTAATACTTTTTATGCCTGCAAGAAAAATATATAAATATCTTTCTTTAAAGTGCAATTTCATTCAAAAAAATGTGCAAATATAAATAAATTCACACAAATTTTTCACACATCAGTAGCCTTCTGAGGCTTTTAATATACTTGTGCTTTTTGAGGCTTGTAGCCTTTTGATATCTTTGAGTTGAGACATTTAGGGCTGTCAAAATGGCTCGTTGTTCACAAACAACTCGTGTTCGACACATTAAGAATCTCGTGTTAGGCTCGTTAATTTTGTTCGATAAGTTAATGAGTCGAACACGAATTAAGATGTGTTCGTTTGTGTTCGGCTCGTTTTGGCTCGAAATACTACTCATCATATATATATATATATATATATATATAGTAGTATTTAAAAAAAATCTAATTAACTACAAGGCTACAAAGATTTATAATCAATTAAAATATTGATTAAGAAAATAGAATAAAAATTATTAAATTAGATTCAAATGATGTTTTAATATAAATAATAATTTTTAAATCTTACTCAAACTCTTATTTTTTTATGGTTACATGATTAGGGTTGTTAAAAGGACTCTTTGTTCGTGAAAAACTCGTGTTCGGCTCGTTAAGCAAACTAGTCGAACACGAACACACTTTTTGAGCTCGAAATATAAACGAGCCGAACACGAGCGAGCACTCGTGTTCGGTTCGTTTACACCCCTAGAGACATTGTCAACCACTTACTCTCTTGGAGTCTTTCTAGTGAGGACATTGTCCACTACTAGCTTCCCATCGAAACTTACCCCTTGGGCTTGTCTTCCAGGGGCATGATAGCTTTTCATCAAGTCTTGTCAACTGAGCTCGACCTCCAACGATACTGAATTTTCCCATTGAGTCTTGCCTCTTGGGCTTGACTTCCAGGAGCATTATAGCTTCCCATAGAGTATTGCCTCTTGGGCTCGACTTCCAGCGGCTTGACTTCCAATGGCATGATAGTTTCCCATCAAGTCTTGCATCTTGGGCTTGACTTTCAATGGTACTAAATCTTTCCATTATGTCTTACCTCTTGGACTTAACTTCCAAGAGCATGGTAGTTTCTCATCGAGTCTTGCCTCTTAGGATCAACTTTTAGGGATACTAGATCTTCCCATCAAGTCTAACCTTTTGGACTTGACTTCCAGGGGCATGGTAACTTTCCATCATGTCTTACATTTTAAGCTCAAATTCCATGGGTACCAAGTCTTCCTATCGAGTCTTGCCTCTTAGGCTTAACTTCCATAGGCATGGTAGCTTTCCATTAAGTCTTGCCTATTGGGCTCGAATTCCATGGGTACTTATCTTCTCATCGAGTCTTATCACTTGGGCTTGACTTCTTGAGGATAAGGATGGACACTTTGTCTGTCACTTGCCCTCAATGGGGCTTTCTATACAAAAAACATTTCGTGAGAGAATAAGGAAATTTCACTAAATGATAGTTTTTATGATCATTTTTAAAGCAACATTAAAAATCTTGCTCGAATAAAATTAGGACTTTATTTGCTCAAATAAAATAATTTAGAGTTGTACTTTTCATTCGATAACCCCAACGATTTTCTTCTGGTTCTCATCACCTCGTTCTTATAAGAAGTGACCTAGTTGACATTGGCATATCAGACGTTCAACTTCTTCTTTTAATTGAAAAAAATATCTCTGTTGAATGCCCTTTTGCCTGGTAGAAATAACAATATTGAGATTAGTCTCCACCATCTGAATTTCTCAATGGCATTGACCACTTGACGTCCTCTTCATCTTTGATGGTCATTAGAATGTTGAAATGTGACGTGTTGAGCGACGTCTACGGTTTGAATTTTTTTCGCTGTGAGATTTGATCGGTATCCTCGACGATATTCTTGAGCTTGCGCCCCGATAGCTCGAATTGTTCCTTGTGTGCACTGATGATCTCATCTATAAAAATTTGAGCTTCAACACGATGGACAAGTTTGGTGTGAGAGCGAACCGTCTCCCACATCAGTGATGAGTAGAGAGGTCCTGAGCGGAGCCCTCCAAGAAAGACTCCTCTCAAAAACTCTGGATCCACTCTCGGAATCTGGCGGGCTTCGGTGGTTGACATGATAGCTCGTATAAGTGGTTGACATTTAGAGTCTTTGGAAAAACTTAGTATAGAAGAGCATTAGAAGCACGGTGAATGTGCATGATAGCTCTATAGTGGTTGACATGCTCGTATAGGTCAGTTACCCCTTCGCATGCATCCTTGTTTGGGAGTTTAAAGTCTGCTAGGATGGGCGTTGGAGAACCGCCTCTGCCAAAGGAGAAGATTCTTAGAAGTTGCGGCGAGTGGGGAAGCGATCTCTTTTATCTAAAGGAAACTTTTCCAGAACTAAGCATTGCAGCTGATATCAGCAAAAACTAATTGTGGTATTTTTTATGTGATGATAAAAATTTGAGAGTTATGTATGCAAATATGAAAGCCCCTAATATCAATGCATGAGAATTGGGTGTGTCTTACGTATGTAAATGCCCCTAACATCAATGCATTTACAAAAAGTATTAATGCTTACAAATTACATAACTCAATTTTAGAACCTTCAAAACATACTGAATTCTAATTGATTATTACATTAAACTAACAGCTTAATAATAACATTGAACTATAACGCAATAATGCTCACAAATTACGACAACTTACAGCTATGTTAGAGCAGTCGTAATCAGGAGGCTTAGCAGCTTTAGTTGTCAGCTTTTACTGTTCTAATCAAACTAGAGTTCTCATTATTCAACCTTTCTATGACAATTAAACCTATTCCCATTTTCCATCTTCAAGATTTCCAAACAAAAAGATATTAGTACTGACTCTTCTACGCCCATGATTTATTTGCACGCGCTTAGTCCAACCGCTAGTCAAACTGCAAAAATTCAACCTACAGCAGTCACCTAAGACCAGGAAAGCATAATATGACTAAAAACTAAAACTCAAAAAAGTTTCCAATGACTAGGATAAAAATCTAGTTGCAAAATAAGATTCAAAATGTTCTTCTACAATTTGTTTACTCTGAAAATTCATTTTAGGTTCAATTTTATTTACCTGATGTAGTTTTCTTCATAAAAGTTAGTTCTTTATTTATTGAACTTACAAGCAATCACAAAATAAGCAAGATCCATTTAAATAATTTCACCATTCTTTTTCAAACAAGGAGGATCCCGGATTTTGATTGAGGGAAGATGAAAAGGCAGTATTTTCTATTAGTTATATGATATTATAAAATAATATAAAAAGTAGACAAAAACTCTCTAATAAACCAGCAAGAAAATAAATAAATAAATAAGTCATTCCAGAAGCGAACGAATGTAGCAAGCATGGAAGCATAAAGGCACCTGCTTTGGCATTTTCTCACCTCATCCTTAGCAGAAGAAACATACGTCCTCAAAAACGTTATACCCTCTTAAATCTCATCAAATTAGCACAGTTCGATTTGGTAACGGTAAAGGTAAGAGTTGAGCAAAGAAAAAAAAAGAAAAAACTATCGTAGAAAAGATTAGGACAAAGCGAAGTGCTTACAGTGAAAACAGGAATCAAGGTAGTTAGTTTCAGAGCAAAAGCACAAATGATCTCCTGGCCGACTCTCATTGTAACCGCACATCCCTCCGGATTCCTTACAATTCTGACACCAATCCATAACGTTGCTCCAAGTTAATCCGAACCCCTCTTTTAACGCCCCACCGAACGTCTGGTTGTTATGAACCGCCACAGCCGCCGTCTTGTCACAGCTGCCAAACAAATTTTCTGAAAAGGTCGAAGGCCCATTTCCCACTTTATAGTACGACTTTGTAGGCGAATAGGCCTCGTTCAGGCATGAGATTTCTAATAAGCCGGGCGGCATCGTCGGGAAACTGCAATTTATATAAACTGTGAGGTTGTGGTCGAGACTGGTGTAATTGAAAAGGGTTGAGTTAATGCTGGTGTTGGTAAAGCTTATAGGGCATTCGGTTCTCATGAAGTTCGAATCGACGACTGTGACAGTCTTCTGCTCATAATAGATATTCTGTACAGCATAATCCTCTCCACCGATTTTGATGGTGAGCGGGGCGGCTTCGTCATCCGGGTTGCAGTTAAGCTCGTATCCAGGGTAGCCGCAGTAACTCGGGCTTAGGGACAGGCGAAAGGGATAGGTAACGTTAAGGCCCTTAAGGCTTCCGCAGTTTAAATATTCAGAGCAGTTAACGAAGTGCAGATTGCTGGGCAAAGAAGCCGAGGTAGAAAGCAGAAGGGGGTGCAGAAGGAGGAGACACAGTGGCGATGGACACCACCGTCTTCGAAGCATTTTGGCAAATACCGTAGGGCGTATCTTTCCAACGAGACTGGAGAAATATAGCAAGGAGGAGAAGGTCGACTTGGTCGTCTGCGTCGGTGGTTGCCAATTTTCAATGTCCTCGTGTGAAAGCAATTTCGTCGTGGACTCACAGCCACTAAAAAATATTACGTCCACTTAAGTACCAGCTCGGGCTTAGGGACAGGCGAAAGGGATAGGTAACGTTAAGGCCCTTAAGGCTTCCGCAGTTTAAATATTCAGAGCAGTTAACGAAGTGCAGATTGCTGGGCAAAGAAGCCGAGGTAGAAAGCAGAAGGGGGTGCAGAAGGAGGAGACACAGTGGCGATGGACACCACCGTCTTCGAAGCATTTTGGCAAATACCGTAGGGCGTATCTTTCCAACGAGACTGGAGAAATATAGCAAGGAGGAGAAGGTCGACTTGGTCGTCTGCGTCGGTGGTTGCCAATTTTCAATGTCCTCGTGTGAAAGCAATTTCGTCGTGGACTCACAGCCACTAAAAAATATTACGTCCACTTAAGTACCAGTCCAATGAGGTGACAAGAAAAAAAAAATTAGTTCCGTGACACATAGTAATATTCTAGTGTTATTTCCTATTATTCTGATAACGGAATATTTTTTGTTTTATAATAAAATAATAATAGATTAATAATATTTTAATAACACATAATAATATCTGAATAATACATAATAATATTTAAAAAATATGAGAGAAATATTTTTTTATGTTGTTGAGCAAATTTTTTTTTTCCTGATCCAATATTTTCTCATAAAAGAGAACGAAACGTCTGTAGATCTACCTCGAGATTGTTGCGTCATGCACATGATACATAAATATAAGTGCCAAGCAGTTACCCGAATATCTTCCTTCCGGCGGGTCCGTGACAGAAAAACTAGGTGTCATAGTTTAGGGGAATGGCGGGTCCCAGACCGGAGGACTTGGGGTCAAGTTGTCTTGCTCGATCCCTAAAAGTCTTAAAATTGTTGGAGGCTGATAGATAAAATATTAGATCCGGTTCAAGTCCGGAGTTCGGACTCCGACCCCAATAATAATTTGATACTTTTTGTTTGGCTGCATCTATTTTGTGAGATAAAAGAAATTATTTTTTGATGGTGACCTGAATTCGGCCCTCAGATCAATCTGAAAATTTAAAAATTGTCTTTTTAAAAATCTCCCACACTTCAATTCTATTTTACACACTACGGTTATAAGTTTCATCTTCACGGCTACCTTCACTTCTTTTGCGTCTTCTAAGATCTTCATTTAATGTTTTCCACAGTACATTGAGGAGGGCGGAATTCATGAACAATGACCATGAAAAATCTGTCAGGATAAATACCTCGAGATTGCTGTTTCACACATCAGTGGAGTCGAGGATATGATTCATTTGTAAGAGAAAACATAATATATCCATATTTACTAGTATTTTTTTTGTTTTTACAACCAAAATATCACTATTTTTTCTTGAACATGTTTACTCTTTTAGAAGATTAAATTTCAAGGAAGAAAAATTGCATAACCTTTTAATCTATTGTTTCTTAAAATGAGCAATAAAATATGGTTTATTTGTGAGATAAAACACAATATTCTTATCTGTATCGTCGCAATACCATTAAAATAACAACAATTTTCTAAACATATTTACACTTATAGAACATCTATTTTCAAAAAGAAAATGTGTATACCATCATAATCTATTGTTTCTCACATTAAATGAGAAAAGATATGATTCATGTGCAAGAAAAAACACAATTTTTTTATATGTACAACCAAAATACCACTATAACATTATAAATTTTCTAAAACATGTTTAAAGTCGTAGAACATCATTTTTTAAATAGGAAAGTTGCAAAACATTATAATATATTATTTCTCTTATTAGACGAACAAATAAATGCTTTATTTCTAAGAAAAAAATAAAAAAAAAATTCATATGTGCCACAAAAATATCACCATAACACCATTGTTTTTCTAACTATGTTTGCACTTTTAGAAGAGCAATTTTAAAACGGGAATATTGTATAACATTATAAACTATTGTTTCTCGCATTAGAATAAAAATAGATTATTTATTTATGAGAAAAAAAACAATTTTTTTTATATGTATCACATAAATACCATCACAATACTACCATTTTTCTAAAATATGTTTAGAGTTTTAAAATATCACTTCTCAAACAAAAAAAATATTCAAAACATCATAATATATTATTTTACATCAGAAGAACAAATATGTGGTTATTTATGAGAAAAAAAATATAATTTTTTATCTATACTACCAAAATACCACAACAATAACACTGTTTTACGAAAGCATATTTACACTTTTAAAAGATTAATTTTTAAATAGGAAAGTTCTATGACTTCATAATTTATTATTTTTCACATCATATGAACAAATATATAATTTAATTGTGAGAAAAAGACAACTTTTTTTCTTTGTACTGCCAAAATTTCACCACAATACTACAATTTTTCTAAAACATATTTACACTTTTAGAAGATCAATTTTCAAACATGAAACTTGCCTAATATCATAATCTATTATTTCTCATATCAGAGGATTATGATATATGGTGCATTTGTGAGAAAAAAAATACAATATTCCAACCTGTGTCACCACAATATCATAAAAATACCAACATGTTCTTAAAAAAATGTTCACACTTTTAGAACAGTAATTTTAAAATCGAAAAGTTGCATAACATCATAATCTATTATTTCTCAAATCAGAAATGTCAAACATACAGTTCATTTATGAGAAAAAACACAATTTCTCAAGTTGTATCACCACAATATCACCAAATACCACTATTTTTCTAAATCATGTTAGCATATATAATCTTGTTTAAACCATATGTATGTATCTGCAGTTTTGCGAGCCAAAGAAAGTGAGTAATGGGCGGCTTGTTGACAAATTGCTAAACATAATTGTGTATAATGAAAATAAAGCATATAATTTATATTGTGTTCATTCATATTGGATTCACTATTTGAAAAGATCATGTTAGTTATTGGCCAAATTCAATTAATATAAAATCAAAAGATTTTTTATGTGATAAAGTTGGTTTTAAAAATGAACCCAATCTCAATATCACAATGAAGTTTTAAAAAGTAAAATTCATGACTGATTGTCTAGCCATGATTCAATTTGATGATAATTTTGATGGAAATTGAAAGATTAAGGAAATTATAGAAAATCATAACAATTCCTTAGCAGAGCAAGGTGATTAGCATATTCTGAGATCTATTTGGAACCTTAGTGATATCAATGGAAATATGCTGAAATTGATGATAGAAACAAAGATTGGAGTTACCAAAGCATTCAACTTTCTTACATCAAAATTAGTAAAGTAGAAAAAGTGGAATTTTTAAAAATAGATGTCTTCAACTTCAATTTCAATCGAAAGGAAAGAAGAGCAAGAATTGAAATTGATGACATTAATGTTTTAATAGAACTGTTCAGAGAGAAGCTGCAGATCTTATTGTTATATTAGATTTACATATTGACAAGTAAGGTGGTAGATTGTTGATATTTTTTAAAGCGACATCATATCAATTGTTGATTATGACTACTTTAGGGATGTCATCATTTTCTTATAGAAGTTATCAATTGAATAAGTATAACTAGTTTGTACACATTTTATTGGGGTTAATCATCACTGGCAAAATGTTTTTTTCGGAGTTGTTTTTTTATCAGACAAGACAATTGACATCTTCAATTGGTTATTCAAAATATTTGTTTGTATAATGGTTGACAAGTATTCTTTAACCATATTCACTGATCGGGATAAAATAATGAAGAGAGATATAAAAGAGTCATTGTCACGTACTCATCATATATTATGACAACGACATATCTGTAATAAATTTCCTTCAAAAGTACATTACTCAACTTATAATAAGAAAATAAACAATCTATTTTATATTTGCATGGGTAAATGCGATTCAGAAGAGGAGTTTATGCAAACCTAGGTTGAGATGCTTTAAAAAGGGAACCTTCACGATAATATTTGGCTAGATGAGATGTAAAATATTAGAAAAAAATTGTCAACAACACTTAATAAATAATTATTTATCTTAAGAATCTTATCTACCTCAAGAAGGTCAAATCTAGCAAATTTGGCTTGATTCCCCAATAAAATATTTAATCTAGAAGAAGCCCTAAATCTACACTCGCGAACTCCAAGGGAAGAAGACGACGTCAGGGGTCAAAAATGGTGATTTTCAACTTAATTTTTCACCTTTAACCGTTTGCGAACCGGCGCTTAAGCGTGACTGGTTCAGCGCTTAGGTGTCTACCACTCGGGTTGTCCAGCGCTTAAGCATGGGGTTTTAGCGCTTAGGCACCAGTGCACGAATTTTGATATTTTTTATTTTAAGTGAAATGCACATCTAGGCTAAGTCAACCACCCCTAAATGGTCTTATAAATCTTTAATAATTATTTGATTCCCCTTCAACTCTCCTCTTTCTCAAAATTCACCAATTTTCTCTAATTTGATTCAACACAAAATTTTACACACAAACAAACACTTATATTAATTCACAAACAAATACAAACACTTGTGATACATACTTTCTCAATCCAAAGAGTCTTGGATGAGATAATTCCTAAGCATAAACATCAAGGATTAAATAAACTTAACATTAAAAACACTTAAAATAAACTTAATACTAACATCACAACACCTAACACAAACAAACACTAATCTTAGAATCTAATTCCATTCTTCTGGTGGAACGAATTATGGCCTTTCATTTGTCTCTCTTGGGGCATTTGGAATATAGATCTGATAGAACGGGGTGAAAAACTCTGGTTGAGTTTCATTCAATTCATTTGCTTTTTAAATAAATAGTCTTATCTGTTTCTTCTATAAAACTTGTATGACTAAATTGCATCTTAAGTTGCCATCCAATATGCTCCAAATGTGTGGTAGTCTCATTCACCTTTGGTAGTCTTCATTCACTTTTGCTTCAATTGAAGCCACATCAGCCTTTGCTACCAGAATGGATTTCCTCTAACCTTCAAATTGCAGAAAATGACTTCACCAAAGTTGATTTTTTTGTTTGCTACCAGAATGGATTTTTCTATCAGTAAGAACCAGTTGCCTGATG